CAATAAAGGTACGTAGAAAATCATTCCATTTTCCTCTTGATGCCAAATGAAGCAATGATATATTTTCATGTTTTAAAATCAAGCAAACTGATCTGTAATGTATTTGATCTTTTCCTTTCACTTAAAAGAACATTATTTTTATAGTCTTCTGGAGCTATGGCTAAGGATAAGCCTTGTTCCACTCATGTTCTACTCTTCCTTGTTGCATCAGAGCCCTGCACTGACAGTCATTACTTATGCAATTCCAGTCTCAAGAACATAAGAAGAACCGTCTGGGTTAGACCAAAGTACCATCTGGTCCAGAGTTTTGTTCTCACAGTGGCCAAGCAGATGCCTATGGAAAACCCACAAGAAAGAAGAGAGCACAACAGCAGTCTCCGCATTTGCAATTCCCAGAAACTGGTGTTCAAATGAATATTGCCCCTGAAAGAGGAGGCAGAACATCGCTGTCATGTGTAGCAGTCATTGATAGACTCACAATCCTCCATGACTTTAACTAATCCTATTTTAAAGCCGTCAAATCTGCTGATGATCATCGCAGCATCATGTGAATTGTATAGTTTGACTATGGGCTGTGTTAGGAAGTATTTTCTTTAGTCTCAAATCTTCCAAACTTTCAGCCTCATTTGATACCCCTGAGATAGAGAATTATGCAAGGAGAAAAATGTATCCCTGTCTACTTGGCGTATTGCATAAGAGGGAGGGAGAGAAGGGAAGGAGAGGATGTTTCATTTGGTTCACGTTTAACGCAAGCCAACTTCATTCCCAAAACTATACACAAACTGAAGCACAGCTATCCTTAAAAAAAATAATCACATTTTCCGATTTGAAGGAATGTGATGTATGAAGGTTTCTGAAGCTAAGCAGGTCTGAGTCTCATCAGTGCTTGGTTGGAGAGATCAGTCATGAGCCTTAGGTATAGTACCTTGAGTTCAATAGAAAAAAGGTGGGGTACAAATGCAAAAACAGCCACAAAACCACCCATACATAACTGAATCCTCCAGAAGGAAATTTAGATGAAAATTCTGAATTACCCACCCAAGCTGTGAAGCTCATTAAAAGGTCCTGAACAAGTCTTTATTGTGGGAAAGAGAGAGATGCTCTCCCAAGTCCACATCCCAAGCATGCTCACAGTCCTGTCTCAGCCACAGAGTGGCTGGGTCATGTCCTCTACGGGGAGCTGGCTTCTGGCACCAGGCCAGTTAGCAGACCAACTCTGTGTTACAAAGATGTCTGCAAACGTGACATGAAGACTGGCAACATTGTCTGGAGACAGGCAGTCAAGTCGTGTATCCATAGCAGTGACCAGAGGAGGAATGACCACTGGAAGGAGTGCAGAAGGAAGAAACGCCATGGTGCATTTGCAGCAGCACAACCAGACGCCTTCATCTGCCCCAGCTGCAACAAAATATGTCTCTCCTGCATCAATCTCTATAGCCACAGCAGGAGCTACAACTATCCAACAGCTTGACCTCATCCCCAAAGGTGTTCCCCTGCAGTGTCTTCTAAGACAGATGGATGCCAGTATATGGGTGTAGTGGACAGCATTAGCAAAGTCACTTAAATAATGCAGTTGGAGCCCAGAGAGAGAGAGAGAGAAATCCTGATAATACTTTACCGAGGAAACTGAATACAGTGGTACCTCGGGTTACATAAGCTTCAGGTTACAGACTCCGCTAACCCAGAAATAGTACCTCGTGTTAAGAACTTTGCTTCAGGATGAGAACAGAAATTGTGTAGCGGCAGCTCAGCAGCAGCAGGAGGCCCCATTAGCTAAAGTGGTGCTTCAGGTTAAGAACAGTTTCAGGTTAAGAACAGACCTCCAGAACGAATTAAGTTCTTAACCCGAGGTACCACTGTAAAATCATTGTATATGTCAGGCCTCGTACAAAGCAGGGAGTCATTCAACCAAATAAACAGAAGAAAACTCCCTCAGAACTGTGCAACCAATCAGAGCATGTGCTACCTCTGCACACCTCATGCCACACTGAAAAGTTGCTAAGCACCACCCGCACCTATTGCCCTCTTGGCTAGTTGACTTTGACACTAATAGAGGCAACTCTTAATTTATAAATAGAATGATCCCTGCCACTGCACTTCCAACAGCTAGAATGTCAGATGAGGACCAGGGAGACCCAATGACAACTCCCTGTTCAGCCACGAAGCTCACTGGATGGCTCTGAGACAATCACCCAAACCAATGTGTCAAGGTTGTCGTGAGGCTAAAGTGAATGGGTCGGTGGAAGTCTTGTGGATACTAATATTTATGCCTTGAAGGAAGGGTGGCAGCAGTGGCAAAGACAATACATAAACAAATAAAAGATTTAGACAGCTGGGCTGAAGCCGGGTGGGATGCGAAGGTGTGTTGTTGTGAGGCTCAGTTACCTAACACACACAAACTAGCACCTCCACAGACTATAACTAGACTGATATTTATAGCACAACGTCTTGAATAGATGCTATCACAACCTGCTCAGATTGAGCAACAGCTGCTACTTTTTCTTTGTGTGCTAGGGGGAAGGACTGTTTTCCCCCCCGACAGGTGAGCAAGAATATATATATATATATATATATATATATATATATATATATATGACATATTTTCTTTGTCTCTGAGTGAAATCTTAGGCTTAGTATCTTGGTTATATTGTTTCCCAAGTCTGCTTGACCTTTGAGCAGTTTCAGACACGTGAAAAGCCTCACACACCTGCCCAGCATCACATTCCACTGGTAGAATCTGTTTTGCGACTCCGTAGAGCATAAGACTCTTAGTCTCAGGGTTGTGGGTTTGAACCCTACGTCAGACAAAACATTCCTGCATTGGGGGTTGGACTAGATGATCCTCATTGTCCCTTCCAACTCTACAGTACTATGATTCTCTGATTCAGTAGCCCATAAGTATGGTTCCTTCAAAACCTCTTCCAGCCCTAGCCTCCCACCAGGATTTTTGTATTCCAATACCTGGCCATCTTTCCGAAATGCAAATGACCCAGGAACTGTGGTCGTATCATCTTCACCTCACGTCTGAGGCTCACTGTGGTCACATTCACACCATATACTTAATCTTCCGCACTTTTAAGTGCCACTGCTTCTCCCAATGAGTTATGGGAACTGCAGTTTGTTAAGGCTGCTGGGTATTTAGGGTACTCTTTTCCCCCTGCATAGGACTACAGTTATCAGAGTGGCTTAACAGTCAATCCCTCTTTCCACTGAACTCTGGAAACTGTAACTTTGGATCCAGCACCGAGGACCTTCTGGCAGTTCCCTCACTGTGAAAAGTGAGGTTACAGGGAACCAGGTAGAGGGCCTTCTTGGTAGTGGCGCCTGCCCTGTGGAACGCCCTCCCATCAGATGTCAAGGAAATAAACAACTATCTCATGTTTAGAAGACATCTGAAGACAGCCCTGTTTAGGGAAGTTTTTAATGTTTGATGTTTTATTGTGTTTTTAATATTCTGTTGGGAACCACCCAGAGTGGCTGGGGAAACCCAGCCAGATGGGTGGAGTATAAATCATCATCATCATCATCAGGAAAATGCCAAACAGAACAATGCATAAGATCACATCAAGGTGTGTGCGTGTGTGTGTGCAACGTTTAAGAATCCACACATGCACATTTCCCTAATTGCAGGATTCATTTGGAGAAATTTTAAATTTATCTGGCTGGTTCCAACTTTAGCCCTATTCTGGGTTAAATCAACTCGTGGAGGTGGAGGAAGCAGGAGAAACATGCTAGTTTCATCCTGTTGGTGACCCATGTAGCTACAATGACTGCCAGACACCCTCAAGGGGAAAAGACTGGGGTCTCTCCCAGTCCTTCCTGGGGATTTTGGGAACTGAACTTGAAACCTTCTGCAAGCAAAGCAGATACTCTACCACTGAGCTACTGCCAAGACATCTTAGATTGGAGAGCCCAGACTATTTGTGAAGAGGTAGGAACCTATATGAGAACAGCAGGCTCCTTCCTGCCCTCTCTCCTCACATGTCAATTTAACTCCAAAGATCTGAAGAGGGCTTTTATCATTCTGTTCCAAGAAATCTCTGCCTGGATTTTTCCTAGTTAAAAAGAGCAACAAGCACTTTTGGACAGGTACGTCTGGAGCAGGAAGAGAGCCAGAACTTTAAAAACAATTGTATTTATAGACATGATTGCAAAGGGGGCCAGCAGCTCCTAATCTGTCAGTAAATTGTAATGCAGTTTATATTCTTAATTTCATCCATTTGATCTTTGTAACGTTGGGTTTTCAAGAAGAAGCTGTAGAAAGCCAAGGTTAACTTCTTGGCTTGATTCCCTCTCCCACTGCCACAAAGTTTCTCCAATTTGTACACAACACACAAGACCCCTTTACATTTGCCACAGAAGAAAATGAAGTAAGGGGTCTTTGCCAGTTCTGCTGATATGCAACATTTGGTTATATTCCCTAAGCTGCAAAACAGTGACCAAAGTTCGTATATTAAACGTTGCTAGACCCATAGATCTCTCGTACAGATCTAGGTTTATGTGTCCTTTAGGTCGCTCTCTGAACCTGCCTTGATTGATGTGCAGTTCTCCTAGAATCATAATTGTAGAGCTGTAAGGGACCTCAGGGACGCGGGTGGTGCTATGGGTTAAACCACAGAGCCTAGGACTTGCCGATCAGAAGGTTGGAGGTTTGAATCCCCGCGACGGGGTGAGCTCCCGTTGTTCGGTCCCAGCTCCTGCCCACCTAGCAGTTCGAAAGCACGCCAGTGCAAGTAGATAAATAGGTACCGCTCCAGCGGGAAGGTAAACAGCATTTCCGTGCGCTGCTCTGGTTCGCCAGAAGCGGCTTAGTCATGCTGGCCACATGACCCGGAAGCTGTACGCCAGGTCCCTCGGCCAATAAAGTGAGATGAGCGCCGCAACCCCAGGGTTGGTCACGACTGGACCTAACGGTCAGGGGTCCCTTTACCTTTACCTTTTAAGGGACCCCAAAGGCCATCTAGTCCAAACCTCTGCAATGCAGGAATCCTCCTCAGAGCTGTCCCTGGGTGGGCTTGAACCACCAACCTTCTAGTTAACTGTAAGTCACAGTGACCCATTGTGCTACAGGGTGCAGTCATCTAATGAAATCCTAATGGCAACAGGCTGTAGCTCCATGGGAGAACATCTGCTCTGTATGTAGAAGGTCACAGGTTCTATCCCTGCATCTCCAGGTAGAAATTGGAATATCCCCTGCCTGAAACCCTGGTTGTTTGAGATACATCTGATCTTTGAATAAAAAGAAACTTTTTAAAAACCCCAAAGCCTTTTGGTTTTGTTTGTTTATTTGTTCATTTTTAGAAAAACAAAAGAGGAGCTCTTCTGGATCAGACCATAGGTCCAGTTAGTCTAGCATCCCATTTGCAACAGAGGACAGCTAGGTGCCAACAGCGATAGATTTCTCTTGTTTTTAAATCATTTATTTTCTGTTCCCAACCCTTAATCAAGTTGTTCCCCCACTCAGTCACTGCCCTTCCCATGCTGCGCTTCTATACATCATTGCATCTCTTAAATCCTACAAGCTTAAATGTACGTTAATGGTGCTATGATAATTAATGATGATCATTAGCATTAATAAATGTGATCGTAATAGAAATAGACTCTTGCCATTTTCAGTTTGTAGAAGAATCTGGGTTTAAATCAGAGGTTGACAGCTCTGCAAGTCGCATGTCCAGCCAAGGTCAAGATCAGGGATGGGGGAACCCATAGGTCAATCTACCTAAAGAGCTCTTTCTGAAATGAAGTGCAAACAGCCATCCTAAAAAATGCACATGTCTCCAAATTTTGCAGTGTAGTTCACCAGCTAAGTAATGTACACAAAAATGCATATACTGGGGTTAAGCATGAATATAAATGCATGTATTGGTGAACATGGGACATGGGTGGCGCTGTGGGTTAAACCACAGAGCCTAGGACTTGCCGATCAGAAGGTCGGCAGTTCGAATCCCCGCAATGGGGTGAGGTCCCATTGCTCGGTCCCTGCTCCTGCCCACCTAGCAGTTTGAAAGCACGTCAAAGTGCAAGTAGATAAATAGGTACTGCTCCAGCGGAAAGGTAAACGGCGTTTCCGTGCACTGCTCTGGTTTGCCAGAAGTGGCTTAGTCATGCTGCCCACATGACCCGGAAGCTGTACGCTGGCTCTCTCGGCCAATAAAGCGAGATGAGCGCTGCAACCCCAGAGTCGGTCATGACTGGACCTAATGGTCGGGGGTCCCTTTACCTTTTATTGTTGAACATAGCATACAAAATGGTCGTATTAGGGAAAATTGCTTTCTAGAAATGTACATATTAGGAGAACTTTGCATTAAAATTATGATGCATTTTCATGCCTGTATATACAAAAACTTCAAACTGATGCGGAAGTGTGGAGAACCAAACTTCAGGTTGGAAAAATGAGAAACTGAAAGAAACCAAAATTGTTAGACTCCCCAGATTCCTTAGTAGAGATTCAACCAAGATGAGTTTGTGCATATGTAAGGGGGGGTGTTCTTAACTTCCTAATAAGAGCATGAACTAATTTTGTATTGCCTAGTCCCAGCAGGAATTGTAGTTTTAGCTCAGGAGGGTAGGTTGTCTTCCACCTGTGCTTTTTGTTACGGTTGTATGGAGGTAATCTTCGGGTTGCGGGTGGCATGATACGTGTGATTACAAGGAGGATAACATAGCATCACTTTGCTGTTTAGCTCTAGTGTTTGTTAATGATGATATTAGTACTACCTTGCAGTGCCAAATGTCTTTTTTTCCTACCAGACAGTCTAGGGCTGCCTCCAGAGTGTCATTATTTTGCAGGACGGACTCAAGTGCCTGCTGGAACTTTGGGTTTGCACAGTTACGGTGGATTTTTTTCATAGAATTGTAGAGTTGGAAGGAACCCCAGAGGTCATCTAGTCCAACCCCCTGCAATGCAGGAATCTCAGCTGAAGCATCCATGACAGATGGCCAACCAACCTCTGCTTGGAAACCTCCAAGGAAGGAGAGTCCTCAACCTCCCAAGAGAGACCATTATTTATTATTTATTTGCTTATTTTATTGCATTTTCCTCCCACCTTTTCCTCCAACGAACCCAAGGTGGCCTGCCTTGTTCTCTCCCCCCACCATCTCATTGAATCCCCCCCCCCATAGCAACCCTGTGAGGTAGGTTAGGCTGAGCGGCAGGAACTTGTCCAAGATCTCCCAGGTTCTTATCTGATGCTCTAACCACTACACCACCCTAGCACAATGAATCTACTTTCAAAAAAGAGTTGAATTGCCTGCAGTTTGGTCCTCATCTGTGCTACACATTTAAAGCAATATCATGTCAACTGAAACAGTCCTGTCTTCCCCCAAAGTAATCTGGAACTGTATTTTGCTAAGGGTTCTGGGAATTTTTAGGGGACCCCTCACAGAGCTGCAATTCCCAGAGTTCCCTTGGAAGAGGTGACTGTTAAACCACTCAGGGAACTGAAGCATGGTGACAGGAACAGGAGTCTCCTAACAACTCCTATTAGCAAACTACGTTTCCCATGATACTTTTGGAAAGCCACGACTGTTTTAGGTGGCATGATACTGCATTATAGTGCCGAAGAGGCCTTGGGAAGTGAGGGGAGAATGTGCTGAAAAGCAGGAGATGAATGGGTGACTCATGGGAAGATGTCTAAATGCCCTGTGAGCAAATCAGGATGAATGCTTATTGTCATATAACCGTCCTGCAAGGAAATCTGAATGAATGATCCAGAAAAACTATATATAATCTAAACTTTGTGCGAGTTTGTGCAAGCAAATCCAGATAAATGCTCAATGAGTAGATCTTCTGAAGGTGTCCTGGCACTTTAACCACCACCAGAGCTAATGTCCACTTTCCCTATAAGTTTAATCAGGCTGGAATATCAGGTTTTCCATTTCCTCACAATGACTGATAGATATGAGGTGACTGATGGGCGATGGTGGCTTTGTTCTTTAATAGTATTATTTTGTACATAATTAACCGACAAGGCAGCAGATCAGCTGCCTCCACCGGCCTTCTGTCCCTCACACAGTGAATCAAACCCCCAACATGCCTTGTTAGGTGGAACTGGATGAGAAATTAATTGGTGGTAATTTAACCGAAGAGGAACCTCTGACTTGTGGTGACCTAGAGGCAAGGGGCAAGAGGGTTCTTAGGAGAGACTGTTCAACTGAAAATGGGAGCCGATGAATTTGGGAGATGCAGGAGGAGATTTCCAAAGATGGGGAGTAGTTCAGAATCATAGCATCATATAATTGGTTGGAAGTCATATAATTGGTTGGAAGTCTAGGCCAACCTCCCTGCAATGCGGGGAATCTCAACTGAAGCATCCATGACGGATGGAATATCGTGTCCCGTTCTGGGCGCTATAATTTAAGAAGGATGTTGACAAGCTGGAACATGTGCAGAGGAGGGCAACCAAGATGATCAGGAGTCTGGATAATAATAATAATAATAATAATAATAATAATAATTTATACCACGCCCATCTGGGCAGCTTCCAACAAAATATTAAAATACAGTAATGTATCAAACATTAAAAGCTTCCCTAAACAGGGCTGCCTTCAGATGTCTTCTAAAAGTCTGGTAATTGTTGTTCTCTTTGACATCTGACAGGAGGGCGTTCCACAGGGCGGGCGCCACTACTGAGAAGGCCCTCTGCCTGGTTCCCTGTAACTTGGCTTCTTGCAGTGAGGGAACTGCCAGAAGGCCCTCGGCGCTGGACCTCAGTGCCTGGGCAGAGCGATGGGGGTGGAGACGCTCCTTCAGATATACTGGACCGAGCCTGATGAGAAACAGTTGAAGGAGCTGGGAATGTTTAGCCTTGAAAAAAGAAGACCTTCAAATATCTCAAGAGCTGTCACATGGAAGAGGAAACAAGCTTGTTTTCTTCTGCTCTGGAGCACTCAAACCAATGGCTTCAAGTTTTAAGAAAGGAGATACAGAAGAACTTACTGGCAGAAAGAGCTGTTTGACAGGGGAACGGTCTCCCTTCGGAGGCTGTGGACTCTCCTTCCTTGGAGGCTTTTAAGCAGAGGTTGGGTGGCCATCTGTCATGGATGCTTTAGCTAAGATTCCCGCATTGCAGTGGGTTGGACTAGATGATCCTTGAGATCCCTTCCAATTATACAATTTTATGATTCCATGATTATCTGTATGTTTCTTCCTAGTTTTAACCACAGCAAACATGGGGCATGAATGCCCTTCCTAGGAACACACTGATTGAAAAGCAGGGAATATATTTGGTATATTTAAAAGTCCTTTGGAATGTGCTGATCATGATTCCTAACTGAGAAGCAAACTCCATTTTGTCATGAGCCTTGCATTTCTCCTGAACCTTGTCAAATTTATTGAGCAGTCCAGTTAAGATCTAGCCCCTTTCTTAATGTCTCTGTTTCTTTTCTTAAGATGGAAAAGCGAAGGGCATTCGCTGGATAGTCTCGGTCACGGGCTTGGCATTGCAACCCATTGCATTGCAGAAAAGGCTGTGTTAAGAGTTAATAATCTTCAGCTCCTTTCCCTTTTGTTGCTGGTTGACACACTTTCACTAATATCCATCAGCTCAGAACTGCTTTACTGATTGAGTCTGCCTCCCCCTAGTGGGCATTATTAAAATGATGTGTGTACCATTTAAAGCGGGATGAGGAGACTGTGGTTTTCCAGATGTAGTTGGACTCCAACTCCTGTCAGCCTCAGCCAGCAAGGCCAGTTGTCATGGGTGATGGGCACTGAAGCCCATAAACATCTGGAGGGCCACATCTCCCTTATCCCTGATTTAATCTGTTTCGCCAAAGCAAACACACTGTGCATTTCAGTCTGAATCTGCTGCAGATCATGCAGACTCCAATATGTGTGTGCATGTGATTAAAACCACAAAAATGGGTTATGGGTGAGGAGCATAGACTCTCCCCCTGCCAACCACAGTTGACCTCCCTGCAGGTCCTCTCTCCACCTCTCTCTCTGGCTGCCTTGGATGGGCAACCTTAGGAAGCTGTCTTCTATGGAGGCAGATAATTGGCAGAGAGCTTAGCAACTCTCTTGGTTTTCAGGCAGGACTGTTTTCCAGCCCTACCTGGAGATATCGGGGATTGA